AACTGGTCCTGGTCACGGCTCTGGTCTGGGTCGGTTGGCATTCATAGCATGCTAGTGTTATTGCAGCCCGAACCACAAGTGTGACCAGGAGCAGTCCCTGCCACGGTTCTGGTTTGTGCCGATTGGCACTCATCGAACATATTTTTGCAACCCGAACCACGATTGTGACCATGACTGGTCTTGGTCACGGCTTTGGTCTGGGTCGTGACATTAAAGATATCATGATCATATTATTGCAGCACGAGCCACAAGTGTGACTTGGACCAGCCCCGGCCACGCTTCTGGTTTGGGTCGATTGGCATGAATAGTATTTTAAACATACAGATATGCAACCATGACCATACGACCAGGACCAGTCCTGGTCACGTTTGTGGCTTTGGTCGAATGGCATTAAAGAGATTACAAAAGTGCTCTGTTTGGGTCGGTTGGCATAGTAATAATATCATCATGATTTTCGAACAACTCGAACAACAATTGTGACCATGATTGGTCCTGGTCACGTTTCTGGCTTGGCTTGATTGGAATTGATGGGATCATGAGAATATATCACAACCCGAACCACAAGTGTGACCAGGACTGGTCCTGGTCACGGTCCTGGTCGGGGTCGATTGGCTATCATCGTATTCGGGCGCTTTTCATGCAACCCGAGCCACAAGTGTGACCAGGGCCGGTCCTGGTAACGGCTGTGGCAGGGGCGCAGTATGCTGAATGCATTTGGATAGTGCGACCCGACCTGGACCAGAATCAAGACTGCTCACAGTCGTAGTTGTGGTTCGGCATGAATACTACTCCGACGCAGCCGAAGCCAACACCACGACCAGTTACAGTCAAAGTTAAGATTGATCGGATCGCGCAGCCGATTGCCTTCACTCAGACCAGTTCTGGTCGCAGTCGCACTTAAGATAACATTGACGTAATTCGAGGGATGTCCACCTCAACCAAACCAGAACCACACTCGTCCTGACGGCAAAGAGCTCGCAACCGCAGGGGGAGAGGAATGAGCAGGAAGAGGAACGTACTCCACATCCTTCAATAAGCACTCCCCCCGTGCCAACCTGTCCGACGCCCCTTGCCCGCCCCCCCACGCGCCCCAAATCCACCCCCCCTCGCTCCCCAACCTCCCCACGCCCCCCGAAGGACAGCGGCTTCCCACACCCCCACGCGATCCACCCCCCCACGCTTATTGAAAGACCTGGAGTGTATGTTTCGCGAAAGCCCCGACTGTGCAGAGCCGCGTATGGGGGGCCACAGGGAGTGCCAGGACAGCTCGGGGACCCGAGCCCGCGCGCCGTGTATCGTGACAGGTCATGTCTGGTCCCTGGCGTCGCCGGATCAGGAGGAGAATGGGAGGAGGAGGAGGAGGAGGAGGAGGAGGAGGAGGAGGAGGAGGAGGAGGAGGAGGAGGGAGGAGGAGGAGGAGGAGGAGGAGGAGGAGGAGGAGGAGGAGGAGGAGGAGGAGGAGGACGGGGAGGAGAAGCAGGAGGAGGATATGAGGCAGGAGGATGGAGGAGGAGGAGGAGGAGGAGGAGGAGGAGGAGGAGGAGGGGAGGAGGAGGATGATGATGATGATGATGATGTGATGATGATGATGATGATGGTGATGATGATGTGATGATGATGATGATGCTGATGATGATGATGATGATGATGATGATGATGATGATGATGATGATGATGATGATGATGATGATGATGATGATGATGATGATGATGGATGATGATGATGATGATGATGATGATGAGGAGGAGGAGGAGGAGGAGGAGGAGGAGGAGGAGGAGGAGAATGGGAGGAGGAGGAGGAGGTGGAGGAGGGGGAGGAGGAGGAGGAGGAGGGACGGGGGAGGAGAAGCAGGAGGAGAATGGGAGGAAGGAGGAGGAGGAGGAGGAGGAGGAGGAGGAGGAGGAGGCGGGAGGAGGATGATGATGATGATGATGATGATGATGATGATGATGATGATGATGATGATGATGATGAGGAGGAGGAGGAGGAGGAGGAGGAGGAGGAGGAGGAGGAGGAGGAGGAGGAGAATGGGAGGAGGAGGAGGAGGATTAGGAGGAGGAGGATGAGGAGGAGGGACGGGGGAGGAGGAGGGAGGGGTCTGCGGGAGGAGTAACGGGGGAGGGGGTGGAGGGAGCAGGGAGCAGGGTGGAGGGGAGGACGGGAGGAGGGGAGAAGAAGTATGGCCTGTGATGTCGAGGGTCTGGGCAGGAGCGTCCTCAACATCGGCGAGCACCTGGTTGCTGGCAGCGAGCCGCTCGGGGCGCCCCCAGGCCAGAGCGCTCAGGGTCTGCAGCAGCGGTGCCGGACCGTGAGCAGACTGGATCAACGGCATTACCGTCGTGCTCAAACCGTCCGCGAGATGCGGCGGCGAGCCCTGGGGGGAAGTGAGCGGGGGCGAGCCTTCTCAGAAGGCTCGGAGGCCCTCTGGCCTTCCGAGAAGGTTTCCAGGCCTTCCCCGAAGACGCAGAAAACTTCTCAGAAGGCCCGAGGCCTTCTGAGAAGTCCCGCCGCCTTCTGAGAGGGCCTTCTTCTTATCACTTCTCCCCCCTCGCTCGCCGCCGAAAGGGTGGGCGGGTGGGTGGGTGGGGTGGAGTCGCGCGCTCCGCAAAGCCAGGCGGAGCCCTGCGAGCTCCGTGGACGGGTTGAGCACGCTTTTGCAAGTCTTGAGAGCTGGCGCGATGATCCATGGGCGTTTCGGAGGGCCAGAACCGCCAGAGGCTTCACAGCACGGAGAGTAGCCGACTGCGACCTTGGGAATGTTGGGCAACCACCACGACGAGCGTAAGCTACGCGTGCGAACTGGTCTGGCCGCGCGTGGGCGGAGCATCGCTTCGGATTCGTTCTGGCCAGAGAGGTCCCGAGTGGCAGGTGGCAGACCTGCTTGCTCTGTTCTTCACGACATCTGCGTCCACTAGCACATCCGGGGGCCAGAGTCGCGCTCCCTCACGGGATGCCTTTTAGGGCCATTTTGGGGATCCCGTGGGGTCCTGTCGGGGTCCCACTCCTCCTCCACCTCCTCCTCCTCTTCCTCTTCCTCTTCCTCCGTCTTCTCCTCCTCCTCCTGCTCCTCCTCCTCCTCCCCCTCCTCCTCCTCCTCCTCCTCCTCCTCCTCCTCCTCCTCCTCCTCCTCCCCCTTCCGCATTGTTGGAATGGACTTTGCGCCCCTCGGCATCTTTGGTTTGACTTTGCTTCTTTTCGTCGTTGATGCCGAACTGTTGGTCGTCGTCCCGCCGTCTCTGGCGGTGTGCGTTGCGAGCAGGAACACAGCAACGCCACAAGAAAGCGCGGCATTGACAGTGTAGCTCCGCTCCGCAGACTTCCCCTCCAAAACAAAGATCATACGGGATTTGCAATCTCGTGAGCCCCGCCTGACGGAATCAGGGTAATTCAAATCCAACTGCGTTGGAGTCCACCGACGGGCACGCCCTCTCAGGTCTGCGCTCGCGTCCCTGGAACCCGTTCGCACATGCGTGTCGGAGGGCTTCGCAGGATGAGAAGGAGGAGGAGGAGGAGGACGAGAAGAAGGAGGGAAACAAAAGGGCACGCCTTCTTGGGTCTGCGCCCGCGTCCCTGGAGTCCGTCCGCCCACGCAAGGGTCGAAGGGTGTCGGAGGGCTTCGCAGGATGAGAAGGAGTCAGGTGATCGCAAACATGGATGAAGGGGGCGTGGATTAGCGACGGCTCCCGTTTCCCTGGGGCATCGCGGATTCCCGCCGCCGAACGAGGTGGCACCGGCCACATTTTGGGGAGGGCACCTCCCTCGGTCCATGGATTTGGCGACCGCGCGCCAAATCCATGGATCGCTACTCCAGATTTCGTAAGAAAGGGAGGGGGGTCTCATTTCGGGGGGGGGTCTCTTCCAGACTATCTTGGAGGGCCTGGGGGGGTCTGGGGACGATGTTTTGGCGGGATCTCCCACGGGGGAGGTCTGAAATGGCTTGTCTTGGAGGGTCCAGACCCCCTCCCTTTTAATTACGAAATCTGGAGTAGTCCATGTTGGCGCTCTCCCGAAGGAGGAGGACGAGAAGCAGGAGGGAAACAGAAGACCCCCAGAGGGCAGCCGCCTCATGGCTGGCCGGCAACGGCGGCCCAGGACTTCCTGGGGCAGGTCGAGGGTGGCAGATGGGACAGGTCGCCCGGGAGGAGAACCACCGTGACAGGGCGAGAGGAAGAGAATGAGATAGAGAGAGAGAGAGAGAGAGAAAGAGAGAGAGAGGGCGAGAGGAAGAGAGAGAGAGAGAGAGAGAGGGCGAGAGGAAGAGAGAGAGAGAGAGGGGGAGAGAAAGAGAGAGAGAGAGAGAGAGAGAGAAAGAGAGAGAGAGAGAAAGAGAGAGAGGGAGGGAGGGAGGGAGAGACCAGGCAGGCATAGGATGAGGGCAAGGCGCTCCAGAGCCTCCCCGACGCTCTCGGAGGATCCCGAGGCGCTCGGAGAAGGCCGCGGCGCCCGACACATGCTCCAGACCTGCTGGCTCTCAGAGACTCCCGGTGTATCCCAATCTAGATTTATCCTCGTCCTGCTCTCGCCTGAAGGAGGAGAGAGGATCGGGCCCGCATGCCTCACACAGTGACTGTGCGAAGAGCGGCGTGCGAGGGGCCAGCCCTTGCACCCTCTGTGGCTGCGCAGTGTGGCACGCTGTTGCGGTGAATGGCTGTCGCCAGACCCAACTGTTGCATGGAACGCTGCATAGATGGCGGATGGGCCAGCACGCCCGAAAAGTAACAGCGGTCAGCTTGAGTGGCATTCCCCTGGCGTTTGGGCTCAAGCCTTTGTCGGCAGAAAAGAATCACGTCATGGTGGCCGAGCCGTGCTAACACACGGCTCGGCAATCCGTATCGCCGCAGCGCCCATTAAGCGCGGGCAGCGATCCACCAGCAGAGCTGCGGCCCGCGTGCGCCGTGGTCTGGCGCGCAGGCTAGCGCGTCGGGCTGCGGTCAGCCCCGCGCCGAGGCGCAGGACAGAGCGCTGGGTTGCGGGTGGCCCGCGCCTTGGCGCCACGGAGGAGCTGCGCGCTTCGATGGAGGCACTGAGCGTCCGGCTGCAGGCACAGGAGGACGTCGTGCAGCAGCTCCGAAGCGAGAGACAGCAGCTCCAGCAAGAGCTCCAGCAGGCCAGGCGAGCGCCTCGCGTGGAGCCAGCGCCACCTCCAGCGCCACCTCTGGGCGGCGAGATCGACACCAGGGTGATCGGCAATTTGAGGGGAGTTCGGGGGCGACGTGACGAAGTTCGTGGGCTGGAGCTGCTCGATGGAATCCTACTTCGGCGCCGTGGACCATAGGTACCAGGCGAAGTTGGGACGCCACGATGGAGCCAGAGGTCGCTTGGTTCAGCACGCGGCTGTACTACACTCTCGTGATGACCGCGTCTGGGTCGGCACTGGACTAGTGCCACAAGGCGGTGATGAACGAAGTGTTCGAGTCGTGGCGCCAGGTCGTGCTGGAATGGGAACCGAAGCTGAGGAACCAGTTCGTCGGTCTTCGCATTCAGGCGATGACGTACAAGTTCACGGGAAACATCAACAGCGCTCTCGTGGCCTTCGAGAACCTCGTGTGGGACTACGAGAGCCAGTCCGACAATGATATCGACGACGACGAGAAAATCGGCACGGCTCTGCCAGGCACGGTGGATTCTAGGCCAAGGAGCACTTGATTCGGAGCAGCGCCGGCCTCGACGCGTTGCCCAATATGCGCGAGAAGAGCTTGGATATCACCCGCACCCAACAGCGCGTCGACTCGCAGCCGGCGCCCATGCAGCTCGGAACCATCTCGAGGGGGGGCGAGGGCCCCAAAGGCGGGACGCCGACATGGGGTGAGGATCCGAAGGGCGCTGGCAAGAAAGGCAAGGACAAGGGAGGCAAGGCCGACGGCGGGAAGAACCCGAACGGCGAGAAAAAAGTGTTTCTACTGTTGGAAGAAAGGTAAGATGAAGGCCGAGTGCAGGAAGAGACAACGAGACCTCGCCGCGGCGGAGAACAGAAGGGGGCCGCCGGCCGCTGCGCCAGGAGGGCAGAGCGCATCCTCCTCGGGGGCTCCGCCGCCGCCGCCGGGACAGCGGCTGCCAGTGCAGCTGCAGAGCCCGCGCGCGTCGACCTCCGTCCTCAAGAAGCTCTGCGCCCTGCCGCAGCAGGCAGTGGCAGCGCGCCGGCCGCGCCAGGCCGCGACGCAAACAGACTCGCCCCAGTGCTGGCAGCGACGCGGACGGACGCGAAGCACCTCGCGATCGACACCATTGCTGGGGCGAGCATGCTCCCGCGAGGATTCGACCCAGCAGCTGAAGACGATTCGACAGTGGGCTCAGTGCGGCGCGCGACGGCGACGGGCAACCCTGTCGCCGGCGACAGTGGGAAGCAGTCCCGCGTCGGGCTTCAGAGCGGCCAGCAGGCCGCGGTGAGGTGCAGCGGGGCAGTGGTGAAGTTCCCGAGCGTGAGCGTCGGGGAGGCGGCAGGCCAGGGCAATTGGTTCCTCTTCGGTCCAGGTTGCCAGGTTGTGCTGCCCAGCAAGGCGTCTCCCGACCGCCGGCGGATTTCTCGACTTCCCAACGCGGTGAACTTGGAGAAGCACGACGGGGCGTGCTGGCTGCCGTGTCGAGTGGGGGGGGGGGCGTGGGGCGCGACGCCCGTGTATCCCGTGCGGCCAGCGGCTGAGGTCCAGCAGGCGGCGGTGCAGGATCCGGCTCAGGGGCCTCGACGGCAGGCGGCGCGCGCGACCCGACTCAGCGAAAGGCGAGACCAGGTGGGACATGGGCATTTGATTCTTTGTGAGGACCGCTGACCCGCAGCCGTTAAAGTCCGTGCTCGACTGCCTGGACATGCCCAGCGGCGCCGTCTTCGCAGCGATGGTGGGCCAGGGCAGCGACCCGTGTGCACTGATGTCGCCATCGAGGCACTGAAATACACGGGCTTGACACGGGCTTGACACGCGCGGCGGTTCTTTGCGACCGGGGGGGCGCCGTCGAGATGCTGGCCGGCATCGTCCGGGACAGCCGCGTCCACGAGAGCGCTGCTGCAGACCCCCAAGGTGTCGGGCGCCAGCGCCGGAGGCGTGGGGCGGGCGAGTTGCGAGGTCGAGAAGCAGCTCCAGACGCTCGGTCCCGCTTCGAACAGTGCTGCAACCTGGCGGTGGACTTGGACTACGAGATCTTGCCGTTCTTCGGTCTGGCGCGTAGCCTGGCCTCTGACGCACTTCCAGGTCAAAGCGGGCGGCCAGACGGCCTGCGACAGGTTTCGTTGTCGACCTCGCCGAGGCCCGGCTTCGGAGTTCGGCGAGTCCTTCTCCTGCCGGGGCCCGCAGAAGGCGCCCGACATGCCCGGGTGCTGCCCGGGGCGAGCGCTGCGTTGGCACTCCCGCCAGGGTGCGCCGATGTCGGTTCGTGTGGAGGCGCCCAGAAAGTGCGCGTTTGGACTGGGGTTTTGGCCTCGGCGGAGGTCCCGACTGCGGGTGGCGACGCGCCGGAGGGGCCGCAACCCGGGGCAGGAATTGCAGGCGGTCCAGCGGCAGGCGTTG